AACGGGAAAGCAAAAACAACATCGCTAGGCGGCATCGTTGGAAAAGCATCAACGGCATCGTTGGAAAAACGTCAACGGGAAAGCAAAAACAACATCGCTAGGCGGCATCGTTGGAAAAACATCAACGGGAAAGCAGAAACAACATCGCTAGGCGGCATCGTTGGAAAAGCATCAACGGCATCGTTGGAAAAACGTCAACGGGAAAGCAAAAACAACATCGCTAGGCGGCATCGTTGGAAAAGCATCAACGGCATCGTTGGAAAAACGTCAACGGGAAAGCAAAAACAACATCGCTAGGCGGCATCGTTGGAAAAGCATCAACGGCATCGTTGGAAAAACGTCAACGGGAAAGCAAAAACAACATCGCTAGGCGGCATCGTTGGAAAAGCATCAACGGCATCGTTGGAAAAACGTCAACGGGAAAGCAAAAACAACATCGCTAGGCGGCATCGTTGGAAAAACATCAACGGCATCGTTGGGAAAGCATCAACGGCATCGCTACGGGCATCGTCGGAAAAGCGTCAACGGCATCTGAGCAGATGGAGGCCAGAGGCCCAGCCCAACAAGAAACTTCCTTAATCCAAGCCGGACAACATGACTCTATTTATACGTTTATCAAGCTCCTCTTTTTCCAGCCGCTTGCAAAAACATCAATAAGGAGAGGCTGATCGGTCCTTTGCAAAACCGACGTCACTAAGCCATTGTCAATCCTTGGGTAAACATTTGGCTCTAGATGGACCTGATCTAGACCAGGCGACGAGTTCGTGGGATGACCAGGGTGTCGGGGCTCGACTCGTTGGTTAGAAGTAGGAGACGAAATTGGCTCCTGCGGCCAGATCTGGCACTAACATCCTGCCGTTTAAGGTGGGCCATCCACATCCGCTTTTTTTCGCCGACACACGTGCAGCTCTAACTGTTGCTGCGACTGCGGGACTCTTGCGCCGTTTTCTGCTCTTCGATAACAGTATGAAGATGTTCTCGGGAAAGGGCGAGTTCTAACACTCGCAATCGAGATCGATTTCCGGCTCTCGATGTGGAACCCCCTTTTTTTTAAGCGCAGCCATTTGTGGCTGCTCTCGCTCAAATGGTCTGTGAAGGTCAACTTGCACTGCATTCCCGCTGGAAACTAGAGCTACCCCTTCGCACACACAGACACACACAATTTATTACGCCCGGCAGCGAAGCCGAAAGGACTATTAAAGCTGACTACATGTACATTGCTTAGCTTATGTGTCTGTATCCTTGAAGCCCATACGTGATGTCTCCACTTCCTGCTTACTCCTCCACATCTGCCTTCTCACTGCGAATTCCCGTGGCTTCAGTTGTATTATTTGCATGCCATCTTGAAGTTACATACTTCTCCAAGCGTTCAACGTCCTATCTGCGGCGGCTTGAGCGGTGCGTGCTCTCTATGACACGGGTTGTTATGTAGTTGGGGTTATGTAGGGTTTGATGTGTTGGGAGGGGTTGACCTTCACTTCCGTCTCTCATCACCTCGCGTCCAGCCGGCCTGTTGCCAGCGCAAATCGAATCGCCGCTCGAACCGCTTGCATGTTTGGCGTCAATTTGTCGTCGTCAGATGAGCTTTTGCCTCCTAGGTAGAAAGATATGTTTCTTTTCTGTGTTTCTGTACATTCGAGCATCTCTCTACGGTGTGTCGTTCATTTTGTGCATCGGAAGAGAAAATGCTCAACCGTTTCAGCTGCCTGTCCGCATCCACAGATGTGCGAAGACGCTGCGTCGATCCGATGAAGATAATAGTTGAGTCTCGCCATTCCGGTTCTGAGTTGTGCAAGCGTGGTCGCTTCTTTCCAAGTAAGCTTGTCGTAAAGTTGGCGGGTATGCTTCCTGGCAGCGGTTTGTCGACTCTTTTGGAGAATAGTCCGATCTTTTCCGGCAGCACTCTTCCTGGTGAGCACTTTGGTCGTGCTACGTTGAGCGTCGTTGACTTCGCCGTTGGAAAGCGTGCCTGCGGAGTGGCCCCCTCCTTGGTGGCTTCGTGCGCTTGAGCCTTGCTTGCTTAAGCAGTTCGTCATCCTCGCTTGTGGCCGTTCATTGGACTGTTAGGGTGTTGCCGCCTCGACGCAGGCCTTCTACCGAGTCGTAGATGCACCGTATGAACTCTTGTCCGGACTGTTGGTGAGGTCGTCGAAGCGTAAGCACCGCCGCTTTGTTGTTTGTCACCATCGTAATCCTCTCGCTCGTGACGTCTGACAACGGCATCCACAGTGCGTATGCCATAGCTGCCAGTTGTCCGCTGTACGGTTTCTGCTCCGACCTCGGGCCTAACGTGAAGGAGAAAGTCTTGAGTTCGAGGTCGTCTCGCAGCCCCGACCGTTTCTCAACGACACCGCCGACACCTACCACTCCATTTCTTGCTGAGCTGCTGACCGCGACACGGACTGTGGTGGCTGTCCCGGCCCCCCTTGTCTCCTCCTCACCGACTTCAACTTTGAGTCTCTCTTCCCATGGCAACAGCGTAAGCAGGGTTGATGGTCTCGATTATTTCCATCGGCACATCCTTCAGTCAGAGCCTCCGCCACCTGGAAGAGAGGCGGAAGACATTACAGCATCAATCAAAATGGTAATAATAGTGGTGATAATAGGCAAAAGAGCATAGGGATAAGTGACGTATCGTTAAGTACTCCTTTGAATGCGGGGTAAGAAAGGGTAAAAGTGGGTGTTTTGTGGTCTTGGCGAAAGTGCTGTTCAGCCGCACCCGATGGGATACATCATGCGGCTGATTGTGCGAACATGCTATCCAACCAACATGAACGTATTCGATGCGTAGTGTCTTTCCAGGGCGCCTTCTACGTGATGACGCTGGCTTTCGAATTTTCTTCTTAAACGATTGCCCAGACGGTTGCTTTCTACCGTTTGCGCGCGGTCGAAGATAATCACGGTGCTCTAGTTGAAATGCTGCTTTCGTCACTACGACCTCGTCAGCGCTAGTTCGCGTTGCTTAGACGTCACCTACCTGTCCTCGAACCTAGAAAGATAACATCACTGTCGTGTTTGTCGCTTGATGGCGACGCCGTCGTTGTCGTTGTTGATGTCCCAGCCATCGGCAGGCCGTCTGTGATGCATGGTGTTGTGCAACTGCGGAGATGCGCGTCCGCCACGGGCCTCCCTTTGCGCAACACTGGCCGAAGGAGCTTGGACCATCGTACGCCGTCTGTTCCTGCACCAATCAACGCGTGTGGGATAACAAGGTCGAGAAGGCTCAGCTTTCGACCGGACTTTGCCGTGTCGCTCGGGCCAATTTTGCCTCGCTGACGCGGAGCTGGACGGTCAGGTAGCATCTTCTCAACGTGGCGGAGTCCTACGCAACTGTGATTCTCCATTACTGGAATTTTGCTGTCGATACGGACACCGTCACACCTAAGGATTTTTGCTTGAAGTACGGGCTTGAGCCAGCCTGTACAGGTAGTGTATGGCGTTTATTCAATGACCAAGTATCCGCCCTGACGGATTCTGTATCACATACGTATTTTCTATCACACCTTCGTCTCAGGTTCACGTTCGTCATATACCGTCTCGTCCAACAGCGTAGTCAGTCAGCGACCTAACTCCGTAGTGTTCAAGACCAGCCCAAAAAACCGAAAACCGAAAACCAAAAACCAAAAACCAAAATAAAAATAAAAATAATTTACCGCCATGAGCAATGAAGCGCACCCATGCTACAGCAGTGTTGCTCACAAAAGGTGCCTCAAAAAGACGACGGCCCAACAGTCCGGACACTGAGCAACCTTTGTTCTTCGTGACGCTACCGATACCAGAACAGAGACGGCATCGGATGTCTTCGTCTCTTCTGCTAACGGCAAACCGCTACCGCCTGCATTTTGGTCGTTTACGGCTTGTCTCATCATCGTCATCGTCTCGACATCGTTTGGTACGATGGTCAGACGTACCGAAGCACTGCTCGAGCTTTTGGCTCCGCACCAGCTGCTGAACGGTAAATGGTGAGCCGCTGATGTTGCGACCCTCGTCGGGAGTCTCCCACAGGCAGACGCCAGGGACTCCTGCAGACTGGCCACACGAAACCTCACTTCCAAAAAGAAATGGCCGTCTGGCCGGGTCATCGGGTACGACGCAAAGTCACATGCTACTTCATGGCCGCCGATACGGAAGTGAGCCTTGCTCCTGGCGAGTTGCGACACGAACTCTTTCAAGCTTTCAGAGCGGGCACCCAGCCGACAACGGATGTGTCCGCAGCACTCGTACCCTCCATCAGAAAACAGATATGGCCGCGAAGCACGCAGCTCAAAGATAAACAGCTCTGCCCTTGCGCAAAGTGCCAACCGCTTCAATGCCGGGAGGCCTTCGAAAGTACATTCATCATCACATTCGGGATCGTCAAAGCTGGACAGGCTATCCAACGGCGGTTCGGGGCCGTCGAATTCGACGTCAAAGCGGAAGAACTCACCCGATCGGCCAACCTTTTTGTGCGCCACGAGCCGCTGCCAGGCGTTCTTGTCACTGCGAAGGGTCCGAAAGGCCCGCGCCAGGCGGAAGGGGAAGTAGTCCCGCCATCCCCCGTTGGGCTCGCGCGCTAGCTGTTTTTCCTCCCGAGAGGAGCCTGTACCCGCCGAGGCCAGGAGGCTTGGGTCGGGGGTTTCGGGGAAAAGCGAAGCCACCTCTTGCAAAGCGATCGCGGAGGGGTTGTTGGCCACCAGGCCGCCGTCTTGGAACGTGCCGAGGCCGTCGATAGACCAAGGCGTGAAATAGCTGTACGACTCCGTTAGCAACAACTGATCGTGTAGCAATCAATCGACGGCGGCGCTGTAACGAGATAGCCGGTACTGACTACGGAGCGGCGGTTGCACATCGGATGCTGCAGGTCAGATCAGCCACGACACGAGCAAGATGCAGGCGTGATGTATGGACACCGAGTAAGCACGCACATCTCCCACAAAGATACCTGCCCGCCGCTGTCGCTTGTCGTCAACACCTTGTACTCTGTGAAGCCCATCAGCATCGGGTTGCGGTGTTGGATCGCGTCATCGGATCGCGTCAGCAGACCGTGTCAGCGGAATGGGAAGACTACCGTGATCTTCGCCCCGGTGGCCTACTCCGTTGTAGTTGGTGAAGATGCAGGCACTTGCGTCTTGCACAGTAGCGACCGTCATCCCGACCATGGCACCCATCGTGTCGGCGGCCGAGTAGTCGGCGATGCTTCTTTCCGAGCCGAACATGTCTCGCAATGCTTGCTCGATGTGTCGCGACGGATACCTGCTATCGAAAAGGAGCAAGGCTGCGGCACGAACAGCTGTGGCGACAAGAGGAATCTGCATCATCAGTCGTACGAAAGAACCTATGATGGGAATGGACGGGACGCCGCGGGGCGTGAATGCCTGGTTTGATAGGGACTCGAAGCGGGCAATGCACTCGTCCACCGTCCAGCCGTTGATGCAGAGAGCACCGGCGCTGATTGCGCCTGCCACGAGGTGTCAGCTACGAAGTAAATCACGCATGCAACGGCAACGTTCCACGACGAACCTGAGCTGGTCCCGAAGACGACGTCAAAGTTCTTCTGCACAGGGTGGCCCGGCAGGCCAATGTCGTCTTCGAGCTGCTTCAAAAACTTGAGCGGGTATTTTCCCCTCGTCCCGCCGCCGTCGATACACAGCACTCGGGGCGACGCGGTGTCCGGCTTCACTCGTATCTGCATGCCGACGTTATGTCCGCAAAGGAGACACTCGTCGACGTCGATCAGCCACGGATCGGCCGCACTCGCGACCCCAAAGATCTTGACGCAATCCATGCACTGGCCGTGGCCACACTCGGGGAAGAACTGCGGACGACGCCGTAGGCAATGAAAACACGTGCTGTCGGACCGAAGCCGTCTCCAGTCCTCCGCGAAGGCGGCGACGAGCTGTCGGTGGAGTGACGCCGCGGACTGGCCCATCGTCAGCTGCCGGAACATACGGGTCATCTGGGCCTCGATCATCTTGGAGAACTGAGACGGCAAGACGAAGTCGGTGGACCCTTCGTGCGCCAGAACGGCGGCGCCACACACGTTGTAGCACACGTCTTTGTAGAACATCTGGAAGACGTCTCGCGGATCAAAGACTGCGGGATGGTCAGTAACAGTCAGGGTTGGCCAAAGCCCGCGGGACGTACGGTGCATGCCCGGGGGGTAATGGTCCAGCAGGAAGCTGGAGGCGATGACAGGCACGGCGAATCGCTTCAGTGCGTCGACGGAGTCGCAATGTGTGAGAAACCGCGCGAGGTGTGCTTGTAGATCTGCCGCTACCGGGTTGTCCAGTCGAGAGAGGGCGAGAAAGTTGAGGGGCGGGGCGTCGGCATCACCGAGTTGCGCCGTGGCGTGGCGTAGGAGACCGGCGAGATGGGTGGCCGAGAAAAGGCAACTGGCGAGGACGCGCTCAACTCGTTTGGTCTCGGCCATATAGGAAAGCTCGTTGCTCAGTATGTCCCAACGCAGGGAATGGAGACGGCGTCGCAGAGACTTGGGAGACGTGTCGGCCAGGCTGATGACGCGGACGCCATGGAAACGTTCGGATGCATGGACGTTTGTCCTCTTGCGGACGGCCTGTAACAGCTGGTTGCGTGCGGAGCTCTCTTCGCCGCCGTTCGTGACGACGACCAGCCAGGGACGCACCGACGATGTAGACGGCGTTTCTAAGGTCAGCCACGACGCAAGCCGCTGTGCGACGACCTCTACACCGCCGACATCATCGGCAAAAAGGCAGACCACATCTGCAAACGGGAAAAGCGTGCGGTTGTAGACATGGTCACCCGATGCCACCGCTGTGGACGGGATGGTTGCGCTGTGCGCAGTCGATATTGACCTTGTTACGAGTTCATGACAGAGCGTAGATTTCCTCGGCCTCCCGAGCCGTTTATGGTGGGGGATGTCGGCGTCGGCAATCAGGGTGGGCCTCCCGCCGGACGCGCCGACCGGGGCCAGGGAAAGATGGATCTCACCGTGTCCCCGGGTTGTGTTGGGTGGGGTGATGTCTACTCCAAGTCTTTGCATAGCGACCCGCTTGGTCGCATTTCCTACCAACACGAGTGTACTTGGGTATTGGCTGTCCGGACGCGGCAGACTGTCCAGCAGTCTCTGGGCACGGTCTGAGCTTTCAATGACATAGGCCTGGTCTTTGGTCGACACGCGCAGCCAGCCGGTGTGTTTACAACGGGTCATTATGGCCATGGGGTTGCGGTCGCCTGTCTACTACAAAGGAGACGAGGCGACTGTCTTATAGTAGTATAAGGGCAATTCGGAAGCCAAAACGAGCTGTGGGTAGATGGATCCGAAGCCCGATGTTTTTGGGGAGATCCAAAACTGTCTTTGACCCCTTGGCCAGCACCATGAAGACACTTCTGGCCGGACAGTCTGGTCAAACCCAGAGCGGCTGACGGCTGTTCGCGGTTGCGCGGGTGCCTGCATTTAGGGTGTACGCCAGTCGGAACACCATGAGCAGCATCACTCTTGGCTGATGGTAGTCAAAGACAAAGTTGGGTCGGCCAGCCGATCACCGATCGTGTGTGACGCGGATGTGGAATGGTCCCCTTGCCAAACCTGACATGACATGGCGAATCTGATGCACTTTCAGAAGCGGTACAGCCATCGGTTTTTTATGTACTGTATTGTATATTGTTTTTTCCCTTTCTTTTTGGACAGATTCACTGTGTGCTTTTGATGACACAAGTCCGTACACAGTTCATGTTTCTCCTCACAAGCCTTTCGGCAGCGGCTCATCTATGCTGCAATACGATACTACATGACGCCAAGACGCAAGATATTTAACCATCCATCACGTTGCCCAATAAACAGACGTTTCCGAGTGAGGACTCGAACCCACACCGGCAGTCGCCAATGTAGGAGGAAACCTGGGAGTGCTGGCACGCAACTGCAACGTGCCGCTTATGTCTGTCCAGCCAAGCTGGTGTCGGCTACAGAAGCAGCTGCAGTATGGCCAGTTCACGTAGCGTCTGCTGTCCAGGTTCCAAGCCCATAGTGGATCGTGTGTATACTTCAAGTCGTCTTGCGTCGAAATGACCAGACTCGGCGTTGAATAAATGGAAGAGGGGTCGCCCTCGAGCTGGCTCTTCTCGGGAGACGTGGAATCATCGAGGCTCCAGGGGCTACTGTGGCCGTGGCGAACTTCGGACACGTTCTCCCGCGGAACGTCGCCCGATTCGGATGCACACGACGACGTGGGTGATGCCACGCTGTTTCTCTCTGCAGGAAGCACCTTGACTTTTTTCCTGCGATTCGCTCGAGGTTTGCGCGTTGGCTGGCGCGCCGTCAAGCCCGCCCCTACAAGACGCCAATACGAGCCTCTCCCGTCCAGTCGTTGAAAGGCCTGTTTCGCACGAGTCAGCGGGGTGCGACTCCAGAACGCTGGTCTGGCAGACGTTGACAAACCTTGTTTAGGCTGAGGTTCGAGCGGACGCTGTTTTGCCATCCTTTGTTTCCCCTGTTGGCTCTACTGGTGTTTTTTTCAAACCAATCGTAGAGTTCGCTAAGCTCCATCTGCTGCGTCTCCCTGCTGAGAAGCGCCGTTTGGATGAGCTTTGCATATGTCATCTTCCGTCCGCTTTCGTCCATCTTGGTGTCGGTACTCGGCGATGATTCGCCGGCTGCCTTGGCCGGCTGTGGGGAGACCGGCTCCCCGCTAAAGGCGTGCTGCGGCATGCAAGTCTGTGCCGGCATGCAGCATGGATTGACTTGCTGGTCGGCATCTACATCGTGATGATGAGATAGGAGACGTGGTTGTTGAGGAAATATGGGGGGATTGAGATCAGAAGAAGCGGGTGGTGCGCGGGTGGGATCCATTGGATCAAACTGGTTTGCTGCGCTGGCACATGAATGCACGGTACTGTACTGTATGGAAAACAAAGTGTTCGCTAATAACACGCAAAGTCGTGGAAGCCGCATCGATTCTTCGGGGGCGTCCTTCTCCGACCGACGCTCTTATTTTCGGGCTGTCACCGTACCCATTGCACTACATAGTACCTGGGAACACACAATATGGAGTGGTCGGCGACAAGGTGTTCGACGCCGGAATGAAGATCCAAAAGTGGCTACAGCGTACGACAGTACCCAGGTTGAAAACCAGCTGCTGTTGGCGACACCCTCCTCCCGCTGAGGCCATCGCCGGGGTATCGAGAGCAACAGCCGAAAGTGGCGCAACAGGAGCCTGGGCCGCTGGGTGCTGGGTGCTGGGTGCTGGGCATAGTACATAATACAGGGGGTATGTTCTGGCTCTTACGTAGCTAGGTGCAAAAACGTCTCTCACAATCAAGAATCTCGTGTCAAATAACAAGAACCGGAAACTGCTTACGTGAAGTGAAGCCTTAAAGGCCGAAACTGGATGTCTTCGTCTAGGGCGCAGCAGCAGCCGTTTGTGGCCTCATCTGGTTGTGGCACCCAGCATTGAGGAATCCTCAGCCAGGATTGTGCCCAAGCAGGCCTGCCTTCACCGAGCCGGACGGGCCCTTCCTACCTTCCCGGTCGACGATACTTTCACAACACCGCACGCGCTGGTAGGAACCCGAAAAGAGTGTTCTGGCTACTGTATGTAACGACCAGAAGCAACTCTTTGAGGCAGGTGACCATGCACGTAGTCACCAGGAAAAGCCGGGTGCACATTTGCGCACTAGGTAAAGAGGAGCATCGGAGAACGGCCAACCGCCTCAGGGAGCCATTGCCTTTTCTCGCCCCGCACTGCAGAGGAAATGTGGCTAAAAAAATCTATGTGATGGGATTTGTCGATCGCCACTCATTTCATCGCGTCGCATCCGATAAGTGCTCCTGATCTCAAGCGCCAACAAGATCAGCACCACGACGCCAAAAAAGCGCGAACCATCTCTGACAAGGTCTCTTTCTAGGCCTATTGACATATCTTCTCTGAGGTATTCACTTCCCGCTCTCTGGCCTGATTGCTCAACTTTTCATGCAACAGTCCCCCCATCTTTCGCCAAATTGATACCAAAATCCATTTGGCGCAGCAGGCTGCAGAACTAGGCTCAACGTAGAGCGAAGTCATGTTCTCGACGTTACTTAGCTGGTCATACTCCGCGAAACTCGTTCGCCGAGTGTATGTACACATGGCGTTAAGGCTCTCGATTGCGACGCAACATGGAGCACATTGTAGACCATGGAGAGGCCTCCCGGGAGAGTAGGCCATTGGCCATTTCTTCGCCATCGTAGACAGAAGACGGCTTTGCGAAGCCCTGCGTAAGAGACTGCAACTTCACTTGACGGGAATCGACGGCCGACGCCGCCGATGCTGCTTGCACCCAGTTTGCTGACCACACATTGACCGTCACATGCCATGTCAACCAAATGACACTGTAGTTGGTGAATAGTTACGTCACGTGTTGAAGCCTTTCAAGTGATGTGATCTCAGACAAGGAGGCCGGCATATCCAACCATTTTCGGGATATACCGCACAGGCTTAATGACATCCTCGCAAGGAAACCCCCTACATCCGTTATTCCTTGAAGGCTACGGTGTTCAGTTGCGCACCATGGCTCATCACGATGTCTTATGCAACCTTTTACTCTGTCACAGCTCTAGCGTCTCTGAGTCCCAAGTTTTCTATCTGCTTCATCCTCGTAGATGCTCTATCCTCGTCAATGACTGAGATCCACTCGCCGCTGGTTGACGTCAACGACAGCTACAGTACGAATGAATCCTCGTCTTCATCCTAGTGAGTCGTAGCCTGGCTTCCCGATTCCGCAAGAGAGCTTTTCCGAGTTGATTCCAGCCCTGCTTCTCGAGCATGGTCGGCAATGGATGCTAGAATATCAACCACTTCCAGCTTCTGCAGGAACATAGCGTCCTCCTCCTCCTTGTACAAATCACCGTCATGCATAGGCATCACCATACAAGAGACGACCAAGTCGTTACAGACGGCCGGGATGTCTTCAAACCCAAACTCATCAAGAGAGAGAGGCTCGTCAGGCGTGGCTGTGATCACACACCATTCTGCTGACTCGTTGGTCTGCGGCATTCGCGGTCGCACCCGTTCGAATGATAATGGTATGGCAGTGACACCATCCGGTAGGGGCGCCACGACCACGCCATGCGCGTGCATAACTGCGGTAATTATGAGATTACGATCTCTAGAAAGACGCTCGAGAAAATGCATGGGCCTCGTTCCATCAAGCCGCAAAAAGAATTCCACAAAAGGGATCTGACGGATGTCAATCCACTCTTCGTCTTCGTCGGAGAAGCAAGAGCTTGCGGAGGCTGGCTGGCTGTTCGTCGTCAACATGCCATACTCATGGAGGTGGAGCAGCGCAGGCACCAGTTCCTCAGACTCCGGATCAAGGGGGCGAAGGTGATAAGGTGTGTGAACGTCTTGGATACCGGCTGCGCTTAGTTCGATAAACTCGGTATTCAAGTCGACTAAGGCATCCCAGTCTTTAGCCTTCTTCCATTTATCGATCCAGGTGGAATCTTCGAGCGTTTGTAGGTCCATCGGTCTCGGTATCAGGTGTAGTATGCTAAATGGGTGGCTGAACAAGTTGGGTAGATCTAGAACCAGTTCAAGGCAACAATAAAAGATCGATGATCGGTTTGGGATGTTGAAGCTGGAGGGGGATAGGGATGTTTCGGTGTGGAGGTACAAGCAACCGCTCAGGTGAGTTTCTCGACGGTATGGGCAGGCTCTTATATACGGTTTCGGGCGCAAAGAACCTCAAAATTGCAGCAAGCCATATTCAGCTGAGCCGGGAGTCATTACTATTGTTGCAGTAAGGGCTGGGTAGCTCACAACGCAACGGGAACGAGAGGAGTCGAGCGGGTCCATTGTGGCTTTTGGTTTACCGCTGATCCATCAGCCATTCTGGCTCCAGTCGGCCGTCCGAATGCTGCATATCCATGGCTGGTCCCGTAGACGAGCAAGGGCACTTTTCTCTTCAACCGCACAACTGCCGGTATACTTTACTGTACATACTATCTCGACTCTGAAGAAATCACCGTCTTGCTATCTCTAGTCGAACATAGACTGCGGCGTCCCAAGGTCTGACCCCTTTCCCCATGCGAGTACGACTGTGGCTCTTTCTTTAGCCCCTTGCCCTGCGGTCTTGTGCAAGGCCGCCTCACGTATACGGCAAAACGCGACCGTGAGTCCAGGATCCGGTCATCCCGTCAAGGTTCTTGTGGTGGGTAGCGGCGCGGTCGCCCTGGCAGCCGCCGACACAGCCGAGCATATTGGCATGGACCATGGACACGATGGTCATCGAGCAAACCGATAAGATAGACGGGGCAACATCCTACAGTACTCTAGAGGCACTATATGGATTCTTCAGAGCTCAATATCTAATGTCCAGTCTTGGTTACGACGACCCCGGTGATACTGCTCGTCAGTACTTGGACGACTCACTCGCAAGAAACGGCGGCGCTGGGCCGGAGTCGTCCCCTGTCCGAGTGCAGCTGTTTTTGGATCCCAGCCCACCCATAGCCATGTCTCGAACCTCACCCACTTCACTGTCAACGATGCCCAATGAGCACCTCTCTCACAATGACCACTTTTGGACAATGTGTATTGCTGTATGTATGTACCCTTGCCCACACTCTATTCTCAAACAAGACTGCCGTTGCTCAGCCGAACGCACTCTGCAAAACTCCCTGACCAAGTGTACACAAAGCGTCTAAGCACTTGATTGCGACGCAGCGTGGAACACATATGTAGGAAATTGCGAGGCCTCCCAGGAGAGGAGGCCATGGGTCATTTCTCTCCCACCGTAGACAGACGACGGCTTCACGAAGCCCTGAATTAGAGAGGGCAACTCCACTTGACAGGAACAGACGATCGAAACCGCCTGTCCTGCTTGTACCAGGATGTTGACCCAACGCTGACCATCGCGGGCCAGATCAACCAAATTATGTTGTAGTTAGTGAACAGTTACGTTATGTTTTAAGGCCGTCCAAGCAATGTGATCTCAGACAACGAGGCCAGCATTTGACTATGTTCGGGATATAGCTGGCGTACCGCGCACCTTTAATGATATCCTGGCGGGGAAGCCCCCTACATCCGTTATTCTTAGAGCAACGACCTCCCATTGCGCATCATAACTCATCACGCTGCCTTGTCAAGTCTCTAAGTCTGTCACAACACGAGCATCTCCTAGTTTCAAGTTTTCCACCTACTTCGTCCTCGTCGATGATCTCCTCTGCCGGGACTTTGATGTCATGCATTATTCCTCGGCCCAGAGTAGGCAGGCGGTGGAAAGGGTGGCAGGTCCATGGCCATGTATGAGTGGCGGTCGACCTCCACCGTCGTCGTCACGAGAACACCCTCACCTGTTTGCTGGGGCGCGGGGTCGCCGTCTTTTTGTATCTGCACACGGCATCGTCTCATTCTATCAAGAGACCAACTCCATATTTGTTTCGGACTCTCTTTGTGGAAAAAGCTTCCCGATGATGCGGGGCGACGTCGAGACGCGATGCTGACAAGTAGCAAACGCAGCGTGGGTAAACTCGCACAGAGCATTGCCACGGACTGTTCGATGAATGACCATACTACGATATCGACATGGTCCCACGTCTCATCGAACGTGGTGCTATACTCCACCAGATATTTGATCCGGATGGCCGATGTCACGCAGGCGCTGCCGGCCGTGTCAGCCTTCTTCCGCTTCCCTTCTGCCACAAAGCGGCTATCCGACTCACAAGGAACCGACGCTGAACAGTGCAATAACTGCCAGGCGCCGCGGGAGGGAAATCTTCAGCTGCCAAACGTGGGGGATCGGCAGGAGTAAGATGGCGATATCTTCCGCCATGGCGAGCCCGCCGCTGCTGTATCCCACCGCCTGTAAGTTCAGACACTGTCGGTCGGTGATGGTGCGGTCCCAGATCGATCGTACGGGTATGCATTGCACCGCAAATGGGATGGTGAAGAGCGTGCCGTGAAGCAGGAGGATGATCTCGATGGCCTGGGCGATCCTCCGGAAGGTTTGTGACGGGAAGATGCGGCGGAGGAAAAGAATGATCGACAGTTTTACGGCGGCTTGGAGAACAGTGTAGACCAAGTTTCCGACGTAAAGCATCTGACTCGGCGTTTAGTGTGAGGCACCACGATCAACCGGCGGGCCCGGGTTCCCGAACCTTGCGGATGACAATGCCATTCCCCACTGGTATCGTCCAATAGTGCATGCCGAAACCAATACGTGTAATGTGCAGGTAGACTGCGGTCAGAGCGATGAGGAGGACCTGTTGGGTGACATCAGAAGAATTCGCCAAGGGGAGTTGGGCCCAATTACTGCCGCGAAGATAGTCATGTAGTCATCCCCCCATAGGCCACCGGCGTACTTCATCCGCGTAAAAAGACGAAGCGCCACGACGAGGAACACGAGACTGCAGCTGATGACGAGCGTACGTCGGACTTCCTGCCTCCGCGATTCCTTGGGATACGCTTCGCATAGGACTCCCTCTACCGTCGCTGCAGCTTCGCCAAGGTAGTTAGTAGGATGGCACTGTGAATGGGGACGGCGGAGCCAACTTAGTTGATCGCCAAACGGACAGTGTGTTTGCACACATGCCGATAATTCCGCTTGAATGGCGATGTTAGAACAGATACAAGTCGTCACGTCTTCTGGGTCGCAGGCGGACATGAGGAATGTGCTGCTGATACATTCAGACTTGATGGATAACATATCAGCATGATGGAGACCTGGATAATGACGCAAAGACTCACAGCACATGACGGAACCTGCGAAAGAACCTCGATGGCCGACGTTGCCTTCACGATCGCAACAGCAAGCTGGAGAATCAGGAGCACGGGAGCTAGCGACCGACGGGGCGTTGTTGAGGGCATACTGACAAGAAAGCGCGAGGATGCCGAGACGCATGGATGACGGCGATGCCATCGCGGTTTCAGCACTGACGGGAGCAGTATACCGTATATCGGGGAGCACACCTCGGCGTACTCCACACCATCATGACGGATGAGCTATATGAGGCGCTGGGAGAGATGTTTTTGGCGTCGACCGTTGCAGCCGAAACATGCTTCCTGTACTTTTCACGCAGGGAGGATGGCACGTAGTCGTACACGGGAAGAGCAGAGCCACTTATGGCGCCGGTGGCCAGCCTACCGACCAATGCCTCGTCTTGCGCATCCGCTCGTCCGTGACGAGTAAAATGACATCGGCCCGTTCTGTAGTTGATGTTCCGCAACTTGCAGCCGGGCTTGAAAGGCCTTGAAAGACAAGGCCCAGAATGCTCTCAGACTGTCTGCGAGCCCTCGTCAGCAACAGTTGTGTGCATCATCATACGCAGTCATCGGCAAGCAGACCATCGTAGCTTTTTGATACAGGTTGTTCTAGGGATGAACCCTTCAGCATGTCATGGTTGCGCTGGGGATTCCAGAGGGTTTAGTAAAGCCTGGCACAAGCTGGCTCACTTAAAAGGCGTAGACATCAAGCGAGGGATCTGGCATTTGTTTGGAAAGTAATGTTTTGTAGAGAACCAGCAACGCAAGCAAACGGCACACAACAACATCCCTCATGCTTTCAGGACTGACTGCTCGACTAGTCTACATCATCCTCATCGTCGTCCATGCTGGACTCCGAGCTTTCCTCTAACACATCTACGCCTCCGGCAAAGCTAGAATCGGCATCGGACGTGCTGACATACTCTTCATCGGATAAGTTCTCATCCATGCCGCACATCGAATGACCTGCCGACTCCAGCTCTCCGTCGCTGAGCGTGTCGGGAAACAACTCGGACGCGTCTGCGGTGTTCAGCTGAAAGACGGCTCTTGTCCGATGCATCGATGACTCGTGGGTGTCGGGGAACAAGATCCGTACGCAGCAGTACATGTAAAGCATCTTCCTCGACACTGAGTCGTCGCAGATGTGGAGAGTTGCGGGCAGCAGCCCCGGCTGGACAGCGTCTTCCGGCGCATGGATCTCCAATATCCGCGCGGAGAACATCAGAACCTGCTCCAGCACCTTGACAATGACAGGTATGTTGCCAAAGTCAAAGTTCAACACCTTATCAAACTCGAACAGGAGGTTAATTCTGTTGTCGGGTGGGCCATCGTCTGGTTGCTCGTGCGCGTCGCGGAGTTTCAGGCACGCCAGAAGCGCGGCCACCTTGACGACGAACTCTTTGCCTTGGAGCGGCCCACAGAGACAGCTTATGATGTAGGCAACGAACCGGTCTCCCGCGGTACTGTTGATGTCCTCTTTTACTTTGTCAAACGGCGGATACCATGTGTCGTCGGTCAATCCGGTATGGGGACAGTTGACGGCCAGACAGATGGCAAGGCAGCACTGCTCATCTTGTCTAAGTAGGTTGGTCCTGATTTCATCAGCAGGCTATCCACCGTGATGGAACAATGATGTACGGCTTACCACATGGAGTCCATGATCTAGATGAGCACGTCTATGGCTGCTCGATCGTTTCTGTTCACGTCACGCCGATGACGACTTTTATAGTGTCCGCAACATAGCTGCAGACTGGTGTATTATTGGA